CGGGGCGCCGCTCTGCCCTACGCCCGTTACGTCAGCGCCCAGTGTCGGGACGCGCTCAGGAGTTATATCACGGGCGACCTCCACATACACTAACACACACACACACACACACACACACACACACACACACACACTAACACACACACACGTGGTCACACGTGCAGTCGGCGATAAGAACCAAAACAAACTGTCGACCCCCTCTATACCTACAACAACCCGGACCGGTCGAGAGAGCTCTTGCTGTCGTGCTGCTTTGTAACGCTTCTCTTTAGCCTTGTTCCTCTCCTAGCGGGGCAGGGTAGCTGGGTACACACCCCTTTCACTGACTGAGTCCAGGGCTGATAAGTAATACACACACGAAAAAAAAAAAGATTAGCTGTTCAGGTTAGGTTAAGGAGGTCTCGTTTCAGACATCTTTTGCTGAAAACTCTTTCAGCCGAACGGCTCGTATAGCAGCTCTATAAACGCTATAGGACATTGTTAACAAAATGTTATCTCTAAATTTGCGCTCGCGTCCCTGGCTCGACTAGGCTAGTGTGCCAGCGCGACCGAGCGGCAACTCCTTTGGAGCGAGGCGGGCAAACCGCTAATTGGCGATGTTTGGAGGTCTGGTTGGGACTCGGCCCGCTAACCCGGACGTCGTCATCTGATGTGCTTGCAGGTGGACGACATGGCAGCCGCGGCCGCCCGCTAGCCTCGCCGTCCAGGCTCGCCGCCCGCGCCCCGCGACCACCCCGACGAGCGCACCGGCACCACCACCACCATGGCGGTCGGGGCCGTCATCGAGGGCGTGAGGGACTCCGTCAAGGAGCCCGCCAAGGACTCGAAGCTGGCCTGCGAATGGGAGCGGGAGAAGAACGAGGCCAACAAGGCGAAGAGCGGCGGCATCGGCCCGAAGAAGGCCAAGGCCGAGATCCGCCAGGGCGACTTCAGCAACTTCTGGGAGCTGTCGTTCCGGCAGAAGGCCGTGTTCGTGCGCGACAACATCACCGTCGAGCCCATGCTCGCCTGCTACATCATGCCGAGCGTGCTCGCCTCGCTCGCCACGCAGAACCTCAACCTGGAGAAGGCCTGCCGCGTCAACCTGGGCTACAGCGACGACGTTTGCACCGCCCTGGCCGCGCGTGAGACCGCCAACTACACGCACCAGGAGAGCGAGGTAAGAGCATTCTGTCTTTTTGAGGGGCCTTTAGGCTCTTTTTTTTTGGGGGGGGGGATAAACATATTTTTGGAACTTAATGATCAACTGATCATCATCTTTGCTGTTTACAACTGTTCACTAAAATATAAAATATCCATTATGATTGGGGGTGTTCCGTTTACTGGTGATGATACATGAGACAATATGAGACGAATTCGTTTAAACGAAAGCCTTTTGGCTCTATCTGTCCTTTGCCAGGTCCAGAAGCTGGTGGCGGGCATGGCGGGGTGGAAGACGTTCGTGCAGAGCTCGGTGCCGGCCATCCTGATCCTGTTCCTGGGCGCCTGGACGGACCGCACCGGCCGCCGCAAGCCGTGCATGCTCATGCCCATCCTGGGCGAGTTCCTCACCAGCATCGGGCTCATCGTCTGCACCTACTTCTTCCACGAGCTGCCCATGGAGGCTGCCGGGGTGAGTAACCGACACGCAGGGGGGACTTAAATTATTTTTTAGCAACCAAAATAAAAAGAAACAAAAAAGGGTTATGAAAGATTGAATTAACAATATCATAATCAAATTATATCCATCAAAAAGCATTATTCAGGATTTTCTCGAATTTTATACTTTGCTTTCACCTTGAAAATTTCGACTGTACTATTCCTTATCCCTCATAGTGACCGTACTGTTCCCCCTTTCCTTTTCCAATCTCGTTCAGATCCTCACCCTTGACGTTGATCGAGGGAACGTTATCAAATGAGATTGTTGTCGATGAGACGGAGGGGTGGTGGAGCCAGGAGGGTGGCGCGGTGGGGTGTTACTTTCGAGGGGCCTTGCCGGGTGCTTTCGTCTTTCTTTTTCTACGTGTCTGTCGTTTGACTTTTTTCTCTCTTTATGCCCAGCTTGAATGACTGCTCTTCTGCCTCCTCGTATTCGCGAAACCTCTGCGGAACGGGAAGGCCGCCTGACTAGCG